AAGTAGGACTGGACTTTGCTGCAGAAGGAATGCGGCCAACTGACACGACAGCATCTGATGGTGAGGAAATGTTTGTGGACAAAGGTGTCTCAGCTATAGAAATTTTTATCGTCGTATATGGGGGAGACTTCTGTCGTCGAGAGATAGTTTGAGTTAAACTCGAAAATGGTGAGCTTGAAGGCAGGGATGGATTAGGGTGAGAAACCGAAGGCTTCAGTTTGGGACCCTTAGGAGAGTTGGAGTCAAAATCAAAAGATTTTGATACAGTAGCACCTGCCAGAGTTGTGTCGACTTGTGACTGAGAAGAAACGAGGATCAAGCTTGAGCCAACAGATTGGGATAAGCTATCTGGGCGTAATAGCTGTGAAATTTGCTGTCCGTGTTGGGTTTGTGAAGGATTCGGTTGCTGATTGTTGTGTAAAGGAGAAGCAAGTGCAAATATGGAAGCAGGACTGTTGTTACTGTTGGTTGCAGTTGTTAAAGGAGATGTAGATGTAGAGGAGATAGAGAGTATGTTGGAAGAATGCTGATCAATGGGCAACTGGCTAGATCCATCCTTTGCGGAAAATGCAGCAGAAACACGATTTATCAGCTTACCGGGCTGAGTGAAGGAAGGAGGAGACGTTGATGAGGAGGAGGATGAAGAAAAAGAAGAAGAAAATGATGAGGCTGAAGAAGCCAGATGGCAGGAAAGGCTAATTGAAGCAGATTCCGAAAGAATAGATGGTCCTTTCTCGTTGAGATTAGGTGAAGTATCGGGCTTGAGGCCAAGTCTTGCATCTGGCCTTAGCTTTGAATCTAACTTGGAAGTAAATAGGCATAAGGAAGGGACAGCAGACTCTTGAAGAGGCGAAGGCTTCGAAGCAAAACTCGGACAGCAAGTATCGACATTATCGTCTCCAGCAGAGGGCTGGTCCTTGGGGGTAAGCTTAGCTGAGACGCTAGGGGGGAGAAGAGGAAATGAAATTTCCGAAGCAGCAGTAGTGGTAATTCCTCCATCTGGCAATAGACTATCCAAGGTTTTAGTAGGTTGGGAAAGGTCGTCTGTATTCGCCTCCAGTTTGTCAGGCTCTAGGGAATTAGGAGTAGATTCCAGCTTGAGAGGTAATGAGAGATCTTTGTTGGATTGCTGATGGCCAGAGGTGAGCCCAAGTTTGAGAGAAAAATATGGAACTTCAACGTCCTGAGAAGTCGCATGCTTTTGTGGAGATTCAAAGGAGCACGCATGCCCGAAAGTCTTATCGGTTATCTCAATGGGCTTAGTGGACGACAGCTTGTCTTGAGGTGAAGTGGGTACCTCCTTCTGATCAATTTCGGCAAAAGCGGATGTATTTTGGCTAGCTTGATGGGCGTCTTCGTCACTGCTAGAATTCAAGTGACTTTGAATCTTATCTTCTTTATCCCGTACGCCATCATCTTCATCCTTATCATCGTCTTCAGCCATCTGCCCCTCAGTTTCACACGGCTGGAGATTATGCTCTTCGCCGACTGTGACAGCACACTCATCGGAGTGACTGCCCAAGTGAAGTGGCGAATTAGATAGCATACTCGAGTGCCAATCATCCTCTGTCGACCTCATCCGTGGGCTGCCGAAATCGCCATCGAAGTTTTCCATAGCTTCTGTTGACGGAGTAGATTTCGAATTGGGAGATAATCGGTCATCGTAATCGTCAAGAAAGCGAGCCTCCTCATCATCCTCACCATCTATGCTACCACTAACAATGCTAGATGGACTCGCATCCGACGGACAAGATCTATGTCGAATATGGTGATTGTGGTGATGATGGTGATGATGATGATTATAAGTATTGTGTTGAATCTGCGAATTTTGTAATCTTGAAGTGTTTGCATATTCAAGGCTATCGGAAGTGATAAGACAACGAGCTGTTATTGGCGCATTGATGGGGCGCAAGCTAGAAACATCATCAGAAAGCCGATTTATTGGAGGACTTGGACTGATGCAGTCCACCAGATGGCGATGTCCTTGTGCAGAGCGACGATGATGAGGCAATGGTTGATGCCGTTGATGATAGTGATGCTGGAAGTTATGCTGATGCTGTGGATAGGTCGAAGAGAGCACAGTTCCACTAGCGGAAGTAACTTGTGCGCGAAGCAAACGCTTAGCAGTATAAACTCGATTATCCAAAGAAGCAGCCGCATCTTCGTCGGATAGACTAGAGGCATCGCTAGAACGCCGTATCTGTTGGTGGTGTTGCAAGTGGTAACGATGTCGATGATGATGCCGTTGATGGTGAGCATGCTCAATGCGACGGTGAGTGCATACACGGCCTCCATCGTCGAAAGAAGCATTCTCTTCCGCATCATCAACATCATCCTCAGATGAAGCTAGGCTAGAAGGCACAGTGCTGTGACCTCTTAATGATTTGTTGGTTTCTCTATCCTTAAAGGATAGCAGCATCTTTTTGCTATCATCATCAATAGATGCATGAGATCTTTCAGCATCATCTTCATACTTTTCCTGAACAGTTTTTACCTCACCTCCTTCAAGTTTATTTACTTCAATCATTCGCTCATCAGCACTTTCTTTAAGTAAAGCACTTTCCTCTGTTCTTCGTTTCTTTCGATGACGACGGTTGGCATTAGACCGAGATTCTTCGTGTCTGCGATGATGTCGCCGCCTCTGGTGCTTCGAGAATTGTTCTGATCTTGAGTCAGGGAGCCCAATTGCGCAAGCAGAAGAAACAGTCGACCTGTGAGTAGGAGTTGTGCCAGTGCACCTGGAGCTAGAAAAACCGAAAGATGATTTGGCAATAGATGATAAACCACATGAATGCCCACGTGTAGACAACAACGAATGATCGGAGGATAAATGGCCGCCAGTATTAGTTAAATGCCTGATAGCAAGAGTTCCATCTAGAGAAGATGGAGAGGATTCAAGAGCGGAAGTGTCAGTTCGTAATCTGGAATTAAGCTGTTTTGTTGTGCAGTGCACAGCTTGAATACGAGTGGAAGGAGTGATTCGGTGCTGTTGGCAACCTTCGAATTTGTCTCCTCTGCCGCCCAGATCTGAGTCTGCATCTGGACTGGAAAGTTGCAAATCCCGATGCACATCGAAGCTAGCTGAAGGAGTTTTGCGGACAGCTGACTTGAGGCTCGAGAAAACAAGATCTCGCCTGCCTGGAGCAGAGGATAGCACTGCGCTGGCTGTTATGGAAGATGAAGGTGGAGCCAGGGATCGGTGAGAAAAAGGCCGTTGACGTCTTAACGACTTCCGAGACGAACGAGACCCTAAATCGCGTCGATCACTAACTAATTTTATGGGAATCGGAGAAGAGGGTTTTGCCAAAGTAGTTTCACAAATGTCTGCTTCTATATCTTGTTTCTGAGATTGTTCTTCATCACTTAAGGAGGATTCGGACAACCGGGAGAAACGTGAAATAGATTGCCTCTTTATCCCTTTTAAGGAATTTGTAAGTGGAGCTTTCACATGACAACCTGATACCATTGGTTGATGTTGGGAAGTGATAGATGAAACCTGGGGCCGGAAAGTTTGGTGGTAGGGCGCCGAGACTGGGAAGCTCATTCCAAGGCTAAGTCGCATTGTAGGAGGTGACACCTTGAGGTTAGAAATAGCCACACCCGAATTCGAGGAAGGCGTAGTACAAGCGTTTAGTCGTTGTTGCAAAGACAAGTTCTTCTCTGAAAAAGAGGTGGACTTGCCTAAGATTGCAGTAGATGAGATTGGCTTAGCTTGAGTAAGTTTCGAGTTTGATAATTTACCTATATTAGAAGCTGCATTCGGCCTTGGGCATCGATGCCCCAGCTGGTGCCCATGGGCATTAAGATCGGAAGATTGCTTAGATGCAGTCAGCCTAGAAGATGAGGGTTTCATTATTCGGGATCCAGTAGCGCCGCTCATAAAACTAAAGGCATCCTCAGATGACAAATTGTCCTCATCGCGTGAGCGCTCATCCACATCATCATCTTCATCATGTTCTACGTCATCATCATCGTCGCCAGTATGTTGTCTCGAACCTGCTCGAGTATCATCCGCCACCTCATCAAGTTCGTCATAGTCATCCTTAACAGGGATGCCTTTCCGACCTGCTATCTGATGCTGCTTCGATCGAAAAGAAGTCTGAGAGGGAGGTTGATGGAGATGATGCTGGAGTTGTTGGTGTTGGTTCTGCTGAGTATTCTGAAGCTGGCTCTGACTTGATCGGCGAGACACCGTGGGAGCTGAGCCTCCAAGGTTTGAAGTGGGACTTCCCGGCACTGATATACTACCAGTCGAGCTTAGGCCCATTCCGAAAGAAGAGGCAGGCGAGGTATTCAGATAGGCACTGCCGCTACTATCTTCCACATGGCCCGGAGTAGAGGGACCAGGGTGGATAGAAGACTTTCCGGCTGTCGTTCCACTACTGGTACAAGTTCGAGAGGAGGCGCCTCGTTTCCTTTCACGCTTACGCTTTTCCTCTCTTGAGGCTGCTAATTCTTCACGCTTTTGTCGACGTTGCTCTGCCTCTTTGCTAGCACGCCTCTTGATTTTATCGTACATAGATTCATGCCATAGATTTTCCACGTTTCCAATCATTGCCGATTCGGTCAGGCTCACAGAAGAAGGAGTGATACACACCGATGAATTCTGATGACCAGGACTACTGACAATGTTAGTAATAGTGGTTGAATTTGAGCAGTATGAGCTGCTAGGAGATGTTGTTATTGCTGTCAGAGATGTAGGGGAAGTACTCGATGTACTTTTATCCAACGAAGTGGGTGATAGAGGACGTCCGACCAGATAGTCATCTTTTAAACGGGGATCTAGATAACCCGATTGGCATGCAATTCCTGATAGACCTAATGGCCCAACAGAACATGTAGGAGACAAAGAGGCGGCAAGGGTTCCAAGGCTGGGCTTGCTCTGATCAGCCGGTCTGCGCACAATCAATTGTGGAGAGAATGAACCTAAAATCGGCTTTTTTACACTGCCGCTTACAGGAGTTTCTCCGCGCTCAACCAAACGCTGGCGCTTTGATTCACTTATTTCTGCGGATGCCTGCGGGAAACGGGAAGAAGAAGAAGAGGAAGAAGAAGAAGAGGATGAAGAAGATGAAACAACACCTAGGCCTGCCTTTCTCTTTACGCCAGCCCCAGACGTCAGGCTTGGGGCCGAGCCGGAGTTATTCTCTGAGGGTTCTCCAGAAGCACAAGAGGCCACCGTCCTTGGTGCTACAGACGTGACCACACTCAATGCAAAAGAAGCAGCCGAACCGGTGGAACGCGAACTAGTTTGGCTTGTGGAGCTGCCCACGCTGCTAGAACTGTTGTCGGCGGCAGCAGGGCTAAGACGAAATCGAGTAGAGATGCTAGAACCCAGGCCAATAGCCGGAGAACACAACATTAGGTGATGACCACCATTGACAACAGGAGTGATGATGCCAGAGCAACTTGGACTTGTTGAGTCAATAGTCACCATATTGGAGATGCCAGGTGTAGAGGAAGATAAGCTTGTTGGCTTGGCAGAAGGTGAACTCGGACTGAGAAGATTGAAAACCCGCTGAGAGCTGGATCCGCCCAAAGGAGGAGACAGAATGGCGGAATTGGCACTGCCTGAAGCAGAAACTGTTGCTACGCAGTCTGAAGAGCCGGCCAAAGTGGTGCCCGGCCTGCTAGACATCCCAGATGTTGAGATCGAACCTGGCCTTGCAAGCCAGGCCAGGGAGGAGTTGGAGCCGTGAACGATGGACGAGGTCGTGGACACAGTGCTCTCAGGGTGGACAGCGAGCAGACTAGATTTACGGAGATCGGCATCACCAGATCTACGATTTCTGCACGACAGGGCTATATTGGTTGCGTGTTGGGGTGACCGCAAAGACTCTGAAACAACTCCTGGCCGGTTGACAAGGTTGCGGGCGGAGGATGTAGGTGACAAAGTAGAAGTTAGTCGGGAGCTTGACTCTAGACGGTTGCGACCTGAGCCTATGCTGCTGAGACTGCTTTCATCGCCTGTTCGGCTATGCGTGCTGCCGCAGCTGCTGTTTGGTTGACGATTAATGCGTGGACGACGAATCGTCGAGAATCTGCTGTTGCTATCACCACTGCTACTGCGACTCGCGCTCATTCGACGGTTGCTAGTACGGCGCCTGGCCGGACTGTCTCTACGGTTAATCATGCGATTACTACTGCAGACACTGCTGTTAGTACTACTATTGCTACTGCTACTACTATTACTAGCTTCGCTACTAGAACCACCAGTGCTGTTGCTACTTTTAACCTCATTACTACTGCTGCTGCTAGTAATGCTATTACTTCTGCTGCTGTTACTGTTGCCCAATCCAGGGTGCTTTCGAACTGTCGAAATGATCGCTTTGCTCGACAGCACGGCCGATCCTAAAGAACGAGGAGCAGGAGTTGAATTAGAAACTCGAACCGGAAGCACATCAGCTGGAGGAACCAGTCGCGAGAGTTCTTGTTTTCTAGCTTTACGGGTCGTTTTCTTTCCTATCCGATCTCCTGGCCCTATGTTTGACTGCTCAGTCAATAACTGGTTAGAAACCTTAGCGAGTCCAACTGCAATAGTTTCTGCTATTATATTTTTGCGGTCGCCGATAGAAAGTCTCAATTTATTCGTTCGGAGGGACTCAATCGAGTTATGATTTCCATCGCCTCGCCGAAATGAAGCAACTTGTGTCTGATTAGACATCTGGCCATGTCTGACGATATTGCGTGATATACTGCTGTCGGGTAGACCAAGTGAAGAAGTTCTAACAAAATTTACTGTACTGACAGTCGTTTGAAGGGATCCATTGCATGGAGCCAAAGAGGATGAAGAAAAGCCTATGATTCCAGATCTAATATTTGTATCCATAGACGGGGTAGAAGACAGAACTGATAAACTGGGCCGGATCATGGGAGATGCTAACTGGGCACGAGTGGCTGCAATCCATCTGTCTCTACACTGATTTCCAGCATTCTCAGGTACAAGCAATGATCTAGAAACCGCAGAGACGGTAGTGGCTGAGACAGAAATCCCCGTCGTCCCAGAATTGCTTTCAGCAAGAGGTAATCTGACTGCAGGCGTGGGGCCAGTTGTTACTGAATTTGAGGTAAAAAAACCGAGATTTTGCATGGAAATTGCTACCGGCTTCCCTGGAGCAGTGGAACTAAGTGACCCTGTTAGGGTAGAAGTTGTATTCGTCAAAGTTGCACCTCTGTAGGAAGTTGAAATCGGTGCGACCGAAGAAGTTGTAGCACCGGTTGCAGTAGATTTAGATACATGAACTGATGGAGCTAACGTGCAAATTGATGTCACAGGATGTCCAGACCGTCGAATCACTTCGGAAGGCACCGCAGAAATGATGCGAACTCGGCTGCTGAGCCCAGTCATTTCTTTTCCGTCAGATCTAAGTGAATAGAAAGTGTAAGAATCGTATAGTAATGGATTGCATAAAAAGGTGTGTACAAAGGAGATAAGAATAATGAGGATTATAAAAGCACTCAACCTAATAGGTTCTT